TCCACGTATAATGTCAGATGATTTAATAATGTTCCCATTTAGACAAGTTATGAATTTCTTAATGTTTATAACAATTGTTATCCTACCACTGGTTCAAGCTGATCACGAACAACGGTCCGACAACTTGCACACGAGTTGCATGTGAACCATCCAACAGTTACTGACCACCTGAAACATCTAGGAAAGTCAATCTCTGATACGTGGATTTAAATACACACATACGAGGGCGGATCAAATGTAAACGAGACTTTATTCTTAAAATACTTTTATTCGGTGTAATCAAATATCCAAGCACGTACCACTTTTCAACATAATCTCCCGCTTTGGAAATGCATTTTTTCCAGCGGATTGGAAGGTTTTTAATCCCAGTATCGTAAAACGAAGAGTGCTGCGTTAGGAGTCAATTGCGCACAAAGGCCTCCACCGCCGAATCGTCTAGGAACCGTTGTCCTCCTAGTGCTTCTTGAAGTGGTCCAAAGAGATGGAAATCGCAGGGCGATAGGTCAGGGCCGTAGGGAGGATGGTCAAGTGGAGTCCATCTCATTTCCTTTAATGTTTTGCAAGTTAGAACTGCGGTATGGGACCGAGCCTTCTCGTGAAGGAGAATGACGTCTCGAATCGGTTGGTTACGTCTTTAGGAACGATAAGCAACCTTCACCTCCCTTAAAAGCTCACAGCTCTCATAACTGATTCCAACCTGCGCTGTAATTTCAGAAAGTGTCAGACGTCGATCGCTTTCAACAAGGATTCGAATCGTGCGAATGTTCTCCTCCGTAATGCTGCTTCGAGGACAGCGATCATGTTCCACATTTTCAACTTGTTTACGTCCTTCCTTGAATTTCTTATGCCAGGCAAACACGCGAGCCCTTGATAGCGTTTGATCCCCAAACTGTACCATCAATCTTTGCAAAATTTCAACTGGTTTGACGCCTTCATGGGTAAGAAAATTTAATAATTATGCGTTGCGCAACCGAGACGTGCACTTGTTGCTCTGACATTGTGAACGTTACCGTCAAACTTGTCTAAACTCAACAATGCTATGCTCTCCCCACTCCTGATATCCTAAACAATACACTGTAGAAACGGTCACCGGCTCCCTTTAAGTTTACGCGATACAGAAACAAAAGTCTCGTTTATATTTGATCGACCCTCGTAGTTCCCAAAAGGTGCCACTATTTTCTTACTTAATATTTCAATCTTCAATTTCTCTCTGACAACACGTCCATCAATTTAAAATCGAGTGACTTCTCCAAACTATACCACGAACAAGCTTCAGAACCACTGTTTTAGAGAATCGACAAGTGTATAGATATTTGACGTTCCGCTCGGCGAAAAGTCCCCCCGTTAGCCTAGATCCGTCCCAGACCGCGATGGTCTCGAGAGGAAAGAAGTCGTCGACGTCGTCGTTCCGACCAAAAAAATACGTTGCGGATCGATAATAACGCGTTCTGTGTGTACGCGCGCGCGCGTGCACCTAGCCGCGATCCAAACAGAGTGGAACACGAAAAAAGAGAGGCGGGAATGGGGGGCCGAGGGGGCGAACGGCGCGGCGGTGCCAAGCACGAACCTTTCAAGAGTCTCCCCGAGAAGGGATCCCCGAGGGCGGCGCCACGTTTGCGCCGTACAAAAAGTCCAGGAGGGGAATAAAGAGAAGGGAAAAAAAGGAGCTCGCCGAGAGCGGCTAACATGGAATAGCCCTTAGCCGGCACGATAGCCACTCTTTAGGCTGATGGACTCACGACCCTCTCGATTTCTCTCTCCGTCGTGCCACGGCGCGAGTGGTCTCTCTCTTTCTCTCTCTCCCGGTTCGCGCTGACCACTCGCTCGAATCCGCTTCCTTTTGCTCCTCTCGACGATCCGCGTTTCGAGGGAATCGTTCCCGTCTCCGTATCCTTCTTTCCTCGCGCCGTCGAGAATCCGCCTTTTCAAGGCTTTTCGCATTTCGTTCTCGACGGTGGCGTGGAATGCAAGGAAAGATACGCATTCGGGGTTGGGACACGCTGTCACCGGTGGGAGAGGCCTGCTGGACCAACGCATTGTTCTGGGGGAACGAGAGGAATCCTGCTGGCGTTGACCTTTGTTTCGTCGAATGGTAACGAACGTGTCTCGCTAATATCGCATTTGCGGGATAGATGAGCGGGCCTCGCGCGGACCTAATCCCATGGAATATTTCTTAGAATCGGGATCTGTTGCTATAGGTACTACATTCCTGTGCGAAGGACCCTTGTGGAAGACTGGGAGATTTAGTCAGAAGGATTGTTCTATAAAGTTGCATTGGATATAGAAAATAATGTTGCGACGGCGTGAAGATGCCGCGATATTGCGAAGTTGCATCGTTACGGCAGCGTGAACATCGTCAGAATGTTCCGGTTTCAAAGAGAACCGGCAACTTGTGAATGGACAGAACGTCGCCAGACTTGCTTTCGAATAGACGTGTTTACCTTGAGTTGTTTGTTATAGTTAATAAACGTTTTGTGTTCTTGTTCCTTTTATAAAAGACGTGTTAATTATTTAAAATGACTATTCCTCGATACGGCACCAACCCCCGGCGCAACAATAATATTGTAAATAAAGAGGCTTTCGCACTGGGCCTTTGTACAGCCTTTGGTTACGAGGTGTGAGAGGACCTTTACTTTCACCTTTAAGTCTCACTCTTGATAACCACTGCATTTAGAATGCAAGACTGGTCAGTGAAATTCAATAAACAATCAAGGAACATGTGCAATATTGACTCGAAACTAGCAGTTATCAATATGTGGAATAGAATAAAGAATTTATCAGTGGAATGAACTCGAACAGGATGTTATTAATCTACAGCTTAATCGGCGATGCTTCTAAAGAACTATTAGTTGATGCTTCTAAAGAACAGCAGCTAAATTTCAACCTGAAGGCCCCATGCTCTGGAGGTGTACTACTACTCTGCACTATTCCACCTCTGATTTCGATCGACTGATTTTTGCCTGGAATAAAAATTCGATATCAAAATCAGCCCACAAATTCCATCGCAGATAACAATTGCTACTTACACTCGTTCCAAGTATCAAAATCGCAACTATATGTGAACTAACACCGAAGATCCGAATCGTGCATGAACGTAACTTGGATATTCAGCGATATCTTTCCATCGACCCATTCATAATTCCGTCTTAACTATATTTACAAATCACAAATACAGAATCTTTCGATTTACATTAATAGTTATACGTGTACAACACCTCTTTAAAGTTCTCCGATCTAAAGGAACACGAATCGATCATGATTACTCAACGAATGGCGCCCAATGTCGGTAAAAAAGTGCAAATTTTTGACTTCCTCCCACAGAGGGCGAAGTCCTCCAACGATCCACGACTTATCCATCGAGATTATCGACCGCGATCGGTAAAAACGTACTCGAGTGTACCTCGCTTGGATAAATCATGGTCGAATCAAAACGTGTGTCACATAATTGCGATAATCACGATCTATTCGCGATAAATGTACCAATGGGACAGGATAGGAACAAAAGGACGACCTTTCGATGTCCTTTTTCGTACAATCTTGAAATTGCGACTGTGCGAGCATGATATCAACAATCGCTTTCGTAATAAAAACGAGCGAACGTTAAACGAAAATAGGATTGCTTGAATAATTTAATATTTTCGTTCGCTGTAGGTACTCGAATCGCTAGTTTCTAGTGCCGAGGTCTACTGTCGGTAACAGACGCTCAACAAGATGGCGCCCGTGTCGCCTAAACGACGCCAATTCGATGGCGTGCATGGGTAAAATTCTAATTTCAATACAAATGTCTAACAGCGAATAAAGAATAACTCGTTACTCATTACAGAGCGAAATAGTATGAAATAGGCTAAAATAGAACGTAACATTTCACGATGACCAAATGAAAATTCCGCTATTCGATAGCATCGCGTATAAATCGCTAAACGTTGATCTAGCTGCATTACTATTACTATAAATATTAGCAAAATATATTGTAATTACAATTACATATTATAACATTGCTAATATTGTACATGTACATCAACAAGACCGTGTTAATTTTATTCACGACAAATTCTACGTGTCAAAGGAGAAGATCACTCACCATTCTGCAATTCAGGGTTTCGTTATCCGATCTCGGTATAGTATTCTCCAACCTTGCTCGGCGTAGGACCGCGAAGTGTTCGAATCGACAGGTTCGACTTCTGGATTGTTCTTTTTACACGCGTGCACTCGCCATACCTAACCGCTCGCGAATCGAACTATCAATCGTAATGAACAAAATCTTTGATGTCATCTAGCATCACTTTTAAAGCTACATCGTCTCTCGTCTATTAGTAAACCGCAATACTTGTACGCGACACACGTTTGTCCCTTCACCCTTGTACATAGAATCAAGTGCAAATAACCTCTATTCAATGCTCGACTTTTTGATCTCCACACACACACACGCACGCACATCTTGTGACAGTTTCGATGCAAGTAACAAGACGCAGGAGACATTGTTTCAGACGATTATCCTCGTTTCGACTGTCTAGAGAACAATGGCTACCGCAAACTATCAATCACGCGTCGCGAAGGTGAACAATCAACTGCCTCGAAAGTCGAACGACCGGAACGACACAGAACGTAAACACTCGATGCTCGCGGGAAGTCGCGTCTGTCGTCGAGGTTACGTTACACCCGTTCAATTAGCCTATTTTATTTACGGCGAGTAAAGGATCGAATTTCGATTCCCGCGTTTGTCCTAGCCACTGACTCTATTCAACTGCACGACAGACACTGATTTGAATCAGGCTGTGTCACGTGATGTCCTACTAGAAATGTTATAAAACAGAAACCTCTGGTGGCGCTGACCGCGAGATTATTTTCTGTCTTTATTACTACTTGCATAGAAATCGAAGGTGCAACGCGAGCGACGAGCTAACGTGGAATTCGTTTCTATTATTTACCATGCCATACGTAGAGATTAGGATTGTCGAGCCTTTGCATTGTTTCGTTTTTTGAAAGTTAGCGAGTATTGCATACTTAATTTTACAGGGAGAGAGAGAGAGAAATATTCAGGTGTATCGCGTGGGGATCATTACCGACTGGAATTATCGGTAAGTGTTACCGATATGTGAAAAGTCCTTTTATCATTGTGACTGACAGTGTCTTATGCAATTCAGTTCAAGTTTCGCTTATGGTAACACGAATTGGAAAAATAAATGAATATAATTCAGTTAGCGAGCTTAAATCGAAAGGAAAATTCGAAATGTACAAGGTTAGAATCGTAGAACACAAGAGTTGTATATGGGATCATTGAAACCAGAAATATGATAGATTTCATAGAAGTGTGTTGGTAGGTAATACATGCAAACATGGGTAAACATGGTAACTCAGACATCTATTAACGTGCAAAGCTGGTCTCGGTCTTCAAGGGGCCAGATAAAAATTCTATTTTCATTAAAAGCACTCAAAGTGTACTTTGCTTGCATACTTTCAACCCTGCGAGCTGTATTCAATTGAAATTCAATTTTCAGGGAAAACGTGCTAGACTGTATCAGCTCTGCCACGATAACTGTTCATGCACCAACTCACGGGAGGAAAATATGCAAAATTCTTCCTACACAGCTTGTAAAACGATTAAACACAAAACAAATTACTACAACGTTTCTACCTGTAACTGCTCGGACCGTCCAATTAGTCGAACCTGTCGTGCCCCAAACATCGCACACGTAAACTTGAACCGCTGATGTCTTGGAAACGAAACCTTGTATTGGAAAATAGTAAGAGACCTTTTCCATTCATTTCGCGGATACAATTAATCTAGAGAAAGTGTCCAACATTTCCATTCACACTGTGTGTATCCCTCTCGTTCCAATTCTCGCCGTGTCACAATCTTCTTACGTCCTCTCGGCGTGGATCGCCGTCGTGGAAGTTATAACCGAGATTAGGTCGCCGCTGGACTGACTAGCGATTGGTTCTAGTGGTGGCACGCTGCAAAAAGATAATCAATCGTTATTAATCGGTCAAAGTAGAGCTTCTAAGGAGTTAAAGGGCTTAGATTACTCTGGCTACTGTTCTCTACTTTCTACTGTTTAATTACAACCTTCCTTATACGGATCTATGTGTTCTGACCAAACCCACGCGGTGTAAATTCTTCGATTCTGATCCCTCTAAAAATATGGACTTACGTAAGGGTGGTTTGACGGTTGAGGACGGCGGCGGTGGGTAACGCAAGGGGCGAGTGCGCGTGCCCCAATTGCGCCGTGGTTGGCGTACCTACAGGAGGTCGTCTCTCCTCGGAACCTCCGTTTCCTCCTTCGCTTCCACTTCCGCTTTCGCTCTCGACACCGACCCCGCCCCCGTTACCGCTGCCACCGCTCCTGTACACGTTCAACTGCATCGAGTCCACTGAAACGTGAATAAAATAGACTCATTAGTGGATTGCTCTTTCTCTGATACACCTGAGTTACAAACGGAATCTTACAGCTACCAAGTGACTACCAAGTAACTATCCGCGAGAATCGAGACACAGCAAAAGGATTTTTAGCAGCGCGGAAGACGACGAAATGAAAAAAAAGTGAATGACAAACTTGCTCACCGAGGACTCACCGAGTAAGCTAGACTTAATCTCGGTCTTGTGCATGCTGCTGGGCCCGGCCAGACTTCCGCTCATCCCCGAGTGATTCTTTGGCTTCCGCTTCCTCGTCTGTATCCCCTCCTTCTTCATGCTGAGCGGCCTGTTTACCTGTCGCGGTCGGAGAAGAAAGGAATTTAGCCACAATGACAGAGACAGAATTTAATTAAATTGAGCGAGACGCGATAAGGCCGCTATCGAGGATTGCCATCGCGATCGCGGACGGGCGATAACGTTTCTCGGTCGATCGTTCCGTGGAATCGTTGCGAATCGAGAGAACTGCGAGACGAGGAGAGACCTGGCTCGCGTAATGCTTTATTTATAGAGACGAGCGCGGTTTTCGAGGATTAATTACTTGTATGACTGTTGAAAATTATTGAATGGAATACGTAGATAATTAAGAAGGTTAATGTATGAAAATAAAAGATAATTTATAATTGTTGGGGGGACAAATCAGTCTCTAAAAATAATTGTAATTTCTCTCTTTCCCTTATCTGTACAGCTGATATCTAGCGGAACGAGACCGTCGAAAATCTCGAAAGCGCGCGATCGACGTCAACGATAACGATTTCATTTCCACCTGGGTATCTACGTCTCTGTTGCATCGCGCCTACCGAGAACGTTGCGCTTTCGAAATGTTTTCCGAACGATTATGGGAGCGCGCCTCGAAGGTGACGGCTGAGATTATCGGTTTGGAAAGAATTGCGTAATGGACACACGGAGGACTTGGCCCGAAATCCACAGTTTCAGCGTTGCATCGATGCCTTTATGTATTTTACGGCTAAACCTACCGACGTTCATTCTGCAACTATTTCTACATTTGTACTTCTTCTGATGAGACAAATGACTAGTTTTAAATGTAGAAATATTAAATAAATATGTATACGTTGTATATGTATAGTATAATAACTAAATTGTATTACGTGTATATACTACATTGGTGTAGTATACTATACTCATTATAGCGTATGTATATATAGTATGACTAAACTGAAATTATTAACCAATACAAATTATTGTACTATATATATATAATTGTTGTATACAGCTCTTCTGTGCAACATATGAATTATATACAATCCTTTCATGCATTATTCTATTATGCTATATATCCACATATATGTACATGTATGTATAGTATATATATGTACATGTATATGCATATATAGCATAATAACTAAATTGAATAATGCATGAAAGTGTACTAAACCATATATAAAAGTGTACTATACTATATACTATATATATAATTGTTGTATACATCTCTTCTGTGCAACATATGAATTATATACAATCCTTTCATGCATTATTCTATTCAGCTATTATGCTATATATCCACATATATGTACATGTATGTATAGTATATATATGTACATGTATATGCATATATATGATAATATAACTAAATTGAATAATACATGAAACGATTGTATGTAATTCATATGTTGCACAGAAGAACAACAATTTGAAAATTGCTGTTCTTCTGTGATTTGAGCCCGATTCGCGAAAGTGCAACGGGAGAACGTTTTTTGGAGGTTTCGAAGGCCCAGGTTGTCTAGAGATGATGACGCGAATGGCATAACCACGTATGGCATGCGTCGTACCTTTCGAGAGGCGGACGTGTAGCGAGTCTCGATCCGGTTACGAATAGCCCAAACACCGGAGGTTCGTTGTTTGTTTTCCGCGTGCTCAGCCGACGGCACACAGAGAAACGAGAGCGCGTAGGCGTGCGTTAGGGGACACAGGTGAAACGGGAAGACGTTTGCTCGTTGTCGGAAAATACCAGGGGAATCTTTCGTCGTCGAGAGGGGAACACCATGAGACTTTTCTAGATGGAAATTTGGACTCGGGAAAATTTCATTGCGAACACTTGCAAGGCGAACACTTGCAAGGCGTGCACTTGCAAGGCGTGCACTTGCAAGGCGTGCACTATGACAAGTTTCCACTATACTTAGAGTGAAGAAACCACAGAAATCCTCCGTTTAGGACGTCAGAGACTTCTCTTTTTGCGTTATTATCGTACTTTTTGATGCTTTAAATTAGCCCGGGCTCTCAACGTGGTGATCGGCTACGCTACGCACTGCTCCACCGTCTGCCCTTAACACATTATTCATTTAATAGAGATTTGCTTTTCGAAGGACTCCTATTAGTCACTCGAGCGACTTGTACCCCTAATTCGCAGAAGATGACATAGTTCGCTTCCAAGTCTAAATACATATGTTAATTGACCAATGTAAATAGTTGGTCGTAAGAAGAAGTATTATTAATTTTTTAATATTCTAGGATACTTCGGATACTTAGGATACTCTAGTAGAGACTAAACATTCTTTTCTTTGATTCTAAGGGAACAATTCACTCGTCGCGACTCCTAGACCGTACGGAGCCAAGGATTTCCTATCACAGACTGTCTAAGTTGTCTAAGCTCGAAATCTTCAAATCCAAACGACTTTTTTAGCCAACCTAATATTCGAACAACGATCTCGACTACCTTAAACCGATAAATATTCTCCGACTCACATTGTGCAGCTTGAAGTAGAGTCCGCAGGCGTTGCAGACGGGCTCCCCGTTATTGTTCCTTCTCCAGAGGGTGGTGTTGCTCGTCCTGCAATTCGCGCACTGCACCCCTGTCCTTCTCACGCCCGTCTGAAAAATACGCAACCACTTGCTCGTCAACAGGTTTCGACCACTCGAGGATCGCGTCGCCGATCCAACCAGCCGCTGTCACCGCGAATGCGTTTTATCGTGAACGTGACTCAAGGAAGTCGATCTTAATATAGCTCCCGGCGTCTCGAACACAGTTCCAGCGTCGCGGGATCCGCGTAATCGAAACCGCGTAAGTGGAAGCGTTCTCCGAGACGAAACCATAGCAATCAATGTCGTCAAGAGTTACGGGAACGCTTGTTTGCTCCGGTTACGGACAGATAACGCGACTCTTGCCAGTTTTACCGCGACGAGAGATAGAAATACGAAGAGAAGGACTGGTTATCGAATCATTTTCTCGAAATTTAACCCTACAGTGGGGTACTGATTTACGAATGCATCGCGTAGTTACGTTCGGGTATTCTTATTAACAATTTCGAAATATTAGGTTGTCCCAAATTAGGCTTCTTCTGTGACTTGCCAATCGATTATTTTATGTGGCAATGTTTACAGTCAGTGTAATAAGTATTCGTACGGGAACCAATTCATGATATGTACAGTATTTTATTCAAAATAAAACTTCATATATTTATTTTATTAATCAATTTTATGTGAAGAAATAATTAACCAACGTTGTTCCTACATACTTTTAGAGTAGAATTTTTTGTAAATTAGAGTTTATGATCTTTAATGTTAACCTTTTATGTATTTCTTTTCTTGTTAATTTTATTTTCAATCGGTTGCTGTACGAATACTTCTTACACTGACTGTATACGAATTTTGAATTCCATCCTAATTTTCTTTTGGATGTTAATGTGTAACAGTAACGAAGCAAAATGAATTACGTGATCCAATAATGTAACATTCGACATAAAGTATTGTATATATTATTCGTGTATGTATTACTGGATGGTAAAAACTTTTCTTAGGGACAACCTAATACAAAATGGGCAGTAGTATATGCATTAACAATAGAATTCGTTAAATGTGAGCAATCTAGCCAACAGGAAATTATTTAAGATTCCAGTATTATGCCTTCTGTTCGTTTCCATGATATAAAGGAAATCGTGCATTAGGGTTGAACCGAAATTTAGAGAAGAATTAAGGAGAACAAGTTATCGAGTCACTCTCGTCCAATTTAACACATTGATTGGCAGACTAATTCACGTGGAAATGTCTACAGAACTAAAATTTTGTCTCGAGACAATCTGAAACTATAGAATCGTTAATATTCATGTTAATATTCATCGTACTACTAATTTTTATATTCTCGTCAAAACGTACGAATTCTATCCAGATTATCTATCGACCCCTTCAAAATTAATTACTCAAGTTCCTTAGCGAAAAGCTCTGTCGCCCATATACGGGTGACGTGGCGTCCAACAAAAATTTCAACAAATCTAGCTGTTCCCGAATGACTAAAAAAAGATTCTCACCGGTGCAACGGGTTGCTTAGGTTTGCCGCATCTCATGGCGGGCCTGCTCATCCCGTTCGCCTTGCTGTAAACGCAGTTGTGACAGTAGTAATGTCCCGTCTCGTCCCTCCTCCAAACGGTGGCGAGGGCCGTGCAACCGGAGCACTCTTTCGGATCGGCGGTGACGATCGTTCCGTCGAAACCATCGTCAGGGCCCGCCAGCGGTAACCCTGCCCAGGGGGACGGTGCCCCTGCGCTCCCAGGAGACACGCTGTATCCGCCTCCGGAGTACAGCTGTATATTCGCGGCGTCGCTGACAGAGATCGCCGCGACGCCCTGGTAGCCCTGGACGCACTCGAACGTGGGCGGCGAAGGGGTCCCGGGGGTCGACCAGTACTCCGCGGAGGCGGTTGGTTTCGCGTACGAATAGGAACCGGCGCTACTTCCGTACAGGTTTAATTGAGAGCTGGGGGAACCGGGCTGCTCGTAGTGGATCGGCACGCCACGAGATGTGCCCAAGGAAGAGGCCAGGGTTGGGTCGCCCTTGATGTACGTGCTCCCTGGAGGATCCACCTGGCGAGGAAGAGTTAGGCGAGTTAGGAGAGTTAAGGGAGTTTGCAAGTTAGAACAGGGACTCGCTACGTCGGTATACTTAATATATTATTCAGCCTTATATTAACCCTTTATTTACTGGCGTGACTTACAGTCCGAGAGCTTGCGACATAAAATTTCGGCCAATTTCATTACAAATATCCTTTTGCTATTTGACTGTTTTTTACGAAAGAATAAAAATAATCCGTGGCTGGCAGAGAATAAACGGTGCATCGCTCCGCTAGAAAGTCGAAAACATGTAAGAAGTAACAGTATCTTTGACTGAAATCATTATTACTGAAATTTTTAGAATTTGTTTTGAAATTTTTATTGTTGACATACCAAATTGGATAAAAAAGTTGGTCTGGCAGATTTTAAGCGGTGCTAAATGGGTCTGGCAGCCGGAAAACCTTGTCGGAAAAACGAAGTATATGTACTACATAGGGTTAAAAAAATTTGGTCTGGCAAACTTTGAGTGGTGATATATCGGTCTGGCAGCCGTTTAAAAGAACGAACACATATGCGCCCCGTGCAATTTCATGACTTATTGAAGTTAAATAATAATATGATTACTGCAATAATTGTATGAAATAAAAATCATCACAGGAATATTTTATACATAACTAATGTATATAATGTTTGAAAATAATTATATCTTTATAGTTTTATTAGATTATCGAGATCTCAACGCCGATAAAGCGTGTGTGTTACGTTATATACGTTAGTTATTTATAGAATATTGCTGTGATGATTTTTATTTGATACAATTATTATTATTATTTAACTTCAATAAGTCATGAAATTGCACGACGCGCATATGTGTTCGCTCTTTTAAACGGCTGCCAGACCGATATATCACCACTCAAAGTTTGCCAGACCAAATTTTTTTAACCCTATGTAGTACATATTGTTTATACAAAAAGTTTCAGAAATAATGATTTCAGTCAAACTACTTCGTTTTTCCGACAAGGTTTTCCGACTGCCAGACCCATTTAGCACCGCTTACAATCTGCCAGACCAACATTTTTATGCAATTTGGTATGTCAACAATACACGCTAAAAATGTCAGTAGTAATGATTTTGTCCAAAAATCAAATTATTATAATACGCCATAGTGAAGCGTTGCACCACTGAATTCTTGCCAGACCAAGCATTTCTGAACTATGGAGACATACCATCTTCGGAAAACAGGTTCATTTGTGTAATGAAATGAATCACCCATTTCTGTCGCGGGCTCTCGGTCTATTATAAGTTCTGTCAATTTTCACGTGGTACTGTATTAATTAAACGCTTCGAAACACCTATTGCGACATTCAAGTCCACCTCAAGAACCTCTATGACGTTCGTTTTTAATTATTGCATAGCACCGCAAGCTTCGAGTTCGAATTCTTGAGTTTTAATTGCATGGGATTGCACTACTATATGATTGATTCTTTTTCCTATTTATTTTTCCATTACTTATATGTACTTACGCCATAGACTTTTCGATACTATATACAGGCTTCTCTATTCCTTACTTTTATTAGCCGACCCTAACCCAATGTTGAAAAACTAGGGCTTGAAATTAAAGAAAGGTACATAGGTGTATAATTGAAAGAGCAACGGTACTGGAACTAAAGGGAAGTGGACAAGGTGCAAAATTGAAAGCGCAGCAGTATAGACACTACAATTAAAGAGAGATGCACAACGATATAGACACTGAAATTAAAGAAAGGTCCACAAGGTGCAAAATTGAAAGCGCAGCAGTATAGACATTAGACTTAAAGAACGGTGCATAAGGTGTATAATTGAAAGTACGACAATATAGATACTACAATTAAAGAGAGGAGCACAAGGAGCACAATTGAAAGCACAACGATATAGACATTGAAATTAAAGAAAGGTGCACAAGGTGGAAAATTGAAAGCGCAGCAGTATAGACATTAGAATTAAAGAATGGTGCACGAGGAGCATAATTAAAAGCACAACGATATAGACACATCAATTAAAAAGGACTGCAGAAAGAGCATAATTGAAATCACAACAATGTAGACACTACAATTAAAAAGAGCTGCACAAGGAGCATAATTAAAATCCACAACAATATAGACACTAACAATTAAAGAGAGGTGGACAAAGTACCAAATCAAAAGAATTGAACCAACTACCACCCACGTCATCATCCATACAAAAAAAAAAAGTGTTACTCACCCCTCCCACTCTAGACGTGAGCTGAGCAGGCGTGGGGTATGTCAGGATCAGCTGATCGCCAGACTTGGCGTAGGTGTATGTAGGCGCCTGCTGGAAGGTCTCGCTTCCGGATATGTACTGAGCGGCGTACTGGACCGTCTGTGAGGGCGGAATAGCTACGGTCTCGAGGGTGGTGTAGGTGCTGGACACCTTGATGTTGTCCGAGGCGGCGGCTGCCACCGCGGCGAATCGTTCAGCGGCGGCTGCCGCCGCAGCGGCGTTGGAAGCGTCCGTTTCATACTTGATATTAGCGGTACCAGCGTCCGCGTAGCCAGGTACCAGGTGATGCTGAGGCTGGTTGGGTGGTTGCTGGTTACTGGCGCCACGAATCCCCTCACCGATCGGGGGAGAGTAAGGGGGGACAGGTGAACCCAGCTGGACGTTGCTGGTGGCCGCGTTGGATCTGCTCACCATGGGTCCCTCGTAATCCTCGCTGTTGGGGACCAGAACTGGGGAATCTTGATGGTAGGTCCTTCCTGTCGTTCCGTTTCCGCTGGACTGATTGGTCTCGCGGGGACTGTACCTCTGCTGGGCGCTGGAGACCGAGGATGCCCGTCTTTCTTGCGTCTGAACCACGATCGCGTGGTTCTCCCTTCGGAGCTGCTGTCCGTCTGTCGTGTAGGTGTACATCCCGTTCGAGTCCGGTCTGTCTGTGCCTGCCGAATCGTACCTGAGCAAAAATCGGGTTCGAGGATGTATTGGTTTGGCTTAGGTTTATTTAATATAGTGTAAGTTAGCGATAGTGTTAGTTTTGTAATGTATACAGTTTATTAAGAATGGTATTGAGTGATAGGAGTAACCATTGTTTTGAGCATCTGTAAAATTAGGGTCGCGCTACACTCTTCTTTGGGGAGTTGACGAGAATTTGAATATTTAAACGTTCGGACATTGAAAAATTCAAAGGTTTGAGGGTTTAAAGGTTCGAAAGGTCGAAAGTTCAAAGAGTCAAAGACTCAAAAGTTAAAAATTTCAAAAGTTCAAAGGGTCAAAAGCTCAAAAGTGTAAAGGCTCAGAGGCTCAGAGGCTCAAAGGTTCAAAAGTTCAAACTCTCAAAAGTTCAAAGGATCAAAAACTCAAAAGTGTAAAGGTTCAAAGGTTCAAAGGGTGAAAAGCTCAAAGACTCAAAGCTTCAAAGGCTCAAAAGTTCTAAGACTCCAAAGTTCAAAAGCTGAAAAGTTCAAAAGTTCAATACTCCAAAGGGTCAAAAGCTCAAAAGTATAAAGGCTCAACGACTCAAAACTTCAAAGACTCAAAGGCTAAAAATTTTAAAGGCTCAAAGACTCAACGACTCAAAACTTCAAAGACTCAAAGGCTAAAAATTTCAAAGGCTCAAAGACTCAACGATTCAAACACTCAGACATTCAAAAACTCAAAAATTCAAATCTTCAAAGCTTCAAACCTCGAAAAACTCAAACATCCAAATCATACCTGGCCTGCTCCTTGACGGTGAGCGTAGTAGGATCCACAGTATCGGACACCTCGACCTGCACCTCCTGGCCGTTAGTGGTCAAGTAAACGACTCGTTGCTCTCCGGAGCGATGTTGTTGCCCGTCCCCGTCAGCCTGAGAGATCTGCACGAAGTGTTGGCTGTCCTGCTGTTGTTCGTCTTCCTGGTACCCTCGAGGTCGGGATTGCCTGTGCTGTTGCTCGACCGAGGCGTGCTGAAGATGATGCTGGTGATGCTGATGGTGATGGTGATGGTGGTGCTGCTGCGCTTCGAGCTGAATATTGCCGGATATCACGCTGGCATCGGGCGAATCCGACTCGGGTTCCGGGACAGACTCGGTTATCTGTCCTGCGGTCGTGATAGTACGCACGTGTCTTCGCGCCGTGATAACCGTGCGAGGACTCTCCGCCGGTTCTTCCGCGACTGTCATCCTCGGGGATGCTGCCTCCGCTTGGCCGTCATCCCACTCGCGCTTGATCTCTCGCTTCACCAGTGCCTCCTTCATGGTGTCCTGGAACAAACGTATAAATTAAATTAAAAAGGACGAGTACCGGAGTTGAGGAGTCCCTTTAAAAAGTGTAAAATTTATTCTTATCGTCGCAATTCTTTTTGAAATTCGATTTCACGAATAACTTGCGCTCATACTTGCATTCTGGCATCTTCAAGAATTTTTATATATCATATAGCATATGCTATAGTCCATGGTTGCGACGTAAATGGGTTAAGGACCAGGCGCAGCACGCCACGATTTTCAAGGACAGGTCGAACCGGACGAACACCTCGCGGCACGCGACCAGATCAAACCTCGAAGAAAACGCGACCGGGCGAACTGAGACAGCCGACGGAAGAGGGCGAACGAAAAAAAGACAAAGGCAGGAAGAATGAGGGGGCAGAGGGGCCCGAAGGCACACCTCGTCCGTCGCGAGTCGAAACGAGCCGTGTTTACCCTGGCGCGCGTCACACTTCCCTTCGACAATGTCAAGTTTCGACTTCCGGACCGAGCACGCGACTCTTTCTTTGTCGGAGCTCGGTGTCCTCGCCACTCGCGCATCGAGGCGAACACTTCGCTCCGTGAAACCGTTTGAATCACCGCGATTCGTTTGAATCAACACGAGGACCCATATCTTTTACACGAAGCGGCATATTTTGATGAAAATTGGCAGAAATGTTTCTCAAAGGATGTACTTTGATCCACCTACGGGATATTTATATTACTCGTTCGGTTTCGCCAGTAAAAATTCTTAAAGATGCAACCCCACTATGTACCTAAAAATTTCGAGCACTCTAACACAAGGACGTATATCTTTTACACGAATCGCTATATTTTGATGAAAATTGGCAGAAATGTTTCTCAAAGGATGTACTTTGATCCACCTACGGGATATTTATATTACTCGTTCGGTTTCGCCAGTAAAAATTCTTGAAAATCCACCCCCACAATGCAGCTCAAAAATTCGAGCACCCTAACACAAGGATGCATATCTTTTACACGAAACGTCATAGTTTCATGAAAATTGGCTGACAATGTGTCTCAAAGGATGTACTTTGATCTACCTAAGGGATATTTATATTACCCATTGTGTTGGGCCAGAAAAAATTCTTGAAGATACACCCCCAACATGTAACTAGAAAATTTGAGCACCCTAACACACGGACTCGTATCTTTTACACGAAACGTCATATTTTAATGAAAATTGGCAGAAATGTTTTTCAAAGCATGTACTGTGATCCACCTACACTATATTTACATCTCCCATTATCTATCCGCAGAAAAAAATTTCTAAATACTACCGTTACCGAAAGCGTTCGCATACATCCCTCCCTTGAATATTAATTAAATCGAATCCCTTAATTTTCGTACATTTTTGCCGCGAGTACTACGCACTGCAGGAAGCTCAAATTTAACTAAAGCCTCGTATACTGTTCTAATTGGGCCCGTAAAAATTTGCCGTTGAAATCTATATTAGAAATGTCATCGCAGCAGACAATTTTTAGGGCGATTCTTTCACCTACTCGTAATCTTCTTATTTACCTGATTCGTTCGCGCAGCTATTTTCCAGACTCGTTCGACGTAGCGACGTCCAGCGTCGAACCGGCGCACGAACCACACCGATCACTCGAACGCGAGCGTTGCACACCTGAGCTCGAATCGACGCTTCGCCGTCGAGACGTAGCTAGGAACTGACGCGAGCAGCGGCGGCGGTGCACCGACCGACCCGACGTGAAATCCAGAATTACGGAGATCGGTGGACGGCGGTACGACGATGCCGGGACGTGGATCGAACCTAAGCGCGTCTAGTGTCATAAGTGGACGACCACGGGCGATTCCTAGCGATCGATTCGCCAGCGGTAACTTGGCTGGTTATGCAATTAAAGAGAGGTTGATTAAACGAAGAACTTCAGGTGATGCGTAAGGGGAATACGAAATTACGTAACCGAGGGTGTAGTAGAGTTGTACAGAAGTAAGGCGGAAAATTGGGGGAATAAATGAGAGTGTTGATTAGGAATCTGTCTTGATTAGGAATCCGTCTCGATTAGGATAATACATCACACTGTAATAGAATTTTCAGGTTGCTAATTCTGGTAGGTGGATACGGGGACTAGTGTGTGTACTATATGGATTGGGATATTTAAGTGAAAATTGGCAGAAATGCTCCTTAAAGCATGTATTTTTAATCTATCTACGTGATATTTATATTGCTCATTCTGTTGTGTTAGAAAAAATTCCTGAAGATGCAACCTCACCGTGTAACTAGAAAATTCGAGCACCCTAACACGAGGACTCATATCTTTTACACGAATCGTTAAATTTTAATGAAAATTGGCAGAAATGCTCCTCAAAGGATGTACTTTGATCCACCTATACGATATTTATATTGCCCATTCTGTTATGTCAGAAAAAATTCCTGAAGATGCACCTCCAACATGTAGCTAGAAAATTCCAGTAACCTGATATGAGGACTCATATCTTTTACACGAATCGCTATATTTTAATGAAAATTGGCAGAAGTGCTCCTCAAAGCATGTACTTTGAGCCACCTTCACGATATTTATATTACTCATTCGGTTTCGCCAGAAAAAATTCCTGAAGATGCACCCCCTACAACTCCAAAACACCACACCACAGCACAAGCACTCATATATCTCACATAAGTCGCCATATTTTTGCGAAAATCAGCAGAAATCCTCCTCGAATCATTCACTTTTAATCCACCTACGCGATATTTACCTTATCGATCCGATTTCGCCAGAAAAAATTCCTGAAAATTCACCCCATACAATTTCAAAACTCCATCACCACAACACAAGCACTCATGCCTCTAGCATAAGTCGCTATATTTCGACGAAAATCGGCGGAAATATCCCTCCCCCCACCCCACCCTCCCACCTTCCCGCCAAACTACACATTTTCGAATAACCGTACGAAATATTTACGTGGCCCGTTCGAGGCGATAAAAGTTGACCGTGAGTAACGGGGTGTTTTCGTTCGTCACCTGTTATTGGAACAAGCTGGCCCCGCGGCTTAACCCCTCCGTGGAAGTTATGGGATTTCGCTTACCGTTGGTCTCTATCGACGAAAAGCTGGCGCGAGAGATCAGGAAGACGAGCAGAGAGAATCCCTGGCGATCGGAGCGAAAAAGAGGCGACAACGGAGGGGTCCGTTTGTTTGTTCGCCGATAACGAGCGGCCGCTAGCTAGCTGTGAGCGAGATAACGGAACGCGCTCGCGCGGGAGGAGGTGGAGCAAGGGGGTCCGCGAGAGGTGTCCACGTTCTCTTCATCCTTCCCTCTCGACGGCCATCGTTGCCGGCGCCATTTTGCGACGGCCACCGCGACGCGCGTCGGTAGGGTGGCCACTGGTGAATCATTCGCGCGGTGGTTATCTCGCGTCGGTCGAAAAAGTTCCCTGCGTCCAAGACCCGTCGTTTTTTAACCCTCTGCACTCGAGGCCATTTTTCTGGTATCTGTCAGCAACTCGAGATGCTTTGTTAGCATTCTATTGGCACGAATGCTAAGCTTAGATTGACATCGAAGACGTAGGCCGATTTCTATTTTATTGACACTTTTCGAGATCCGAAGATACTAAACCTAAAGAAACATTATTCCTGGTAGATTTGCTGCGTCGAAGCTAGCGGTGACTTAGAGTCACCTCTCGAGTGCAAAGGATTAAGCACACGAAGGGGCGCAGGGGTTGCTGAGAAGGTTAGGAATCGTCCGGAATTAGTTATTAATTATTAGTCCCAGCCTCGTTAATCGAATTCATAGTGTATCAAAAATTCAAACTCAAAAATTTGTATACTAAAGGGAGTATATGTTGACGATTACTTTGGACAAATTTCAATATTTCCGTTCCAATCTTTGCGAACTTCCAAAATCCATGAAACATTGACACGAACGATGGTACCGAAGAGGCGCCCTCCCGCGAATCGCGTTATCGCTGGCCCATCGTGGCTTCCGGTCCCCCCCCCCCTCCCCCGGGCCCAGTTCCGTGGATTTTTGGACGAAGTCGAACGCGTCAATCACCTTCCGTCACCGTTACGTCACCGGTTCCTCTGATTCACCTTCGCAAACTAAGCGTCGTTGTCACCGCAAGCCTAATCAACGAGCCCTAGTAACTAAATCGTCTTCGGGAATTAATTCCATGAAAGCAGCCAGGAAATCGTGACTTTTCCTTTCACAAGATGTTTGTACGCATCTCCCAGATTAAGAAAATATTTTTTATATTCGGTATACGTTCCACTAAAAAAATGGCCCAGCGCGCGATCCAAAAATGGTCTTTTCGTAAATCCTGCCCCTGGGCCATTTTTTATTTAAACATTTACCGAATAAAAAAAAAATATCTTCCTAATCTACGAGAGGCGTACAACCACCCTGTACAAGGAAAAGTCCGAGGTAGCTTTCGATTCCTCGGGATTAATTCCCAAAGAAGCTTGGGTGTCTTCGCGATAGTAATCTCGTCGGAGGCGCCGACCTTTAGTTCCTTGGGTATTAATCCCGATCGAATTCATATTTACGAAACCCAGTTCGCAGTGTACGTGAAACGGGCGATACAGATCTACGTGGTACACCGTCTCCACGTTTCTTCGCGGTCCTCGAGCGATAAGAGGCCAGCGAAGATTGAGAACCCCGTGGAACGAGCCTAAACTCGTTGTTTGTTCCTCCGCCGACAAAAGTGATCGACGAGCTTCGAGTTCCAGGGCGAACGATGCGATACGTCACCGCGATGACTCGAGCAAAACAAATGGCGTGTTCCAGATCCCGTTCGAATCGAAAACATCGTCGAGAAGATGGCACACCCCGTGGACGTTCGATCCAACGAAAGTTAAATAAAAGCGACACCGTTGATAAAACTCGTTGCTGCGCGAGGCGAAAGAGCGGTGCACGCCTTCGTGACTCGTTTTTTTTCTGAGAAATAGTAGCGTACACCTTTCGTCTCTATTGCTCGCTAGCTAGTGGTTTCACCCGCGTGGAATATTATTTATTGGGTTGTCTGGAAAGTCCATGCCAATTTTTAGTAGGCGGTACAGATCTGAATATATCGATATGGTTGAAAACAAACAACATGTGGACATCTCCTTGAAAGGTGGAAAAGTTGTGGAACGAAATGGTACATACATAATTCAATAAATATATATCAACATTCAAACGTGTCTGAAATATTTCTTAAAAATTGGCACGAACTTTCTGGACAAGCCAATATTTTACGTCGTTCGCATTCGGCCACGTGTTCCTTCGTGAATCAGTAGTAGAATCAGTGAACTGTCTTTTGTTTTCCGTAACTCGGAAGTTTCGAACGATATTTTCGATAGCTGTGGCTCGATGTTGCAACCGCGTGAAATACTAACGTTGCAACCTCTGTGCATTTACGGAGACTTTACTGTATCCTTTCTCATTCCGTGTATACATCACAAACCTCTGTGCAAAATTTCAACTTTCTAGGTTCGAGGGTTTAGCCTGGACGTTGATTGTAATCCGTCAGGGCTTCGTTCTTATATATATATATGTATATATAGATTATTGGACAGCTATATACCGACGCTCTGGATTAGGTAGCGACTTCTTCCTTATCTCCCCACGTGTGTTTCAGATCACGTAGAAGCGCGATAAAAGAATATTTTTCTGATTTTTTTCGTTTTTCTTCTAGCGAACCTAAAAATTGTGCCAGTACTCGAATCGTCGAAGCGACGAAAGTTGGAGCAGATGGGACTTTCTACGATAAGGTGGATCAAGACTGGGTGGTGCCATTTTTTTTTTATCTTCGTTACCGGAAAATTAAATTTTCTTTCGTTAAATTTCGAAACGAAACTGTTCTACGAAGCATCGTATATCTTTTAATTATTTTCAATATAATTTGAAGATATTCTTTTCCGTTATTTATTTCTAAAAAATGGTAACTGTACAGACACAATTCTCGTGTTATCTCGAAATATTAATTATTAATTTGTACTCGAGCAATTTTAACGACGAAACAACACGGTTTCTTATCGGAGACCACTTGTTATCGGCACCGTCCATGTTCGACCCCCAAAATTTCGACCAGCTACCTACGCGAACGAATGAATGGCCTTCGAGCGTAGCACTCGAGTTAAGCTTCCATTGCAACTATCGAGCGCGAATTTCGTCGATCGACGCGAGTACCTGGCTATGTGGAACGGATTCCTCGATACGGTTATCTAGGATGGCATCGAAAAAATTAATTGTTTATCGGCGAACGAAGGAAATACAGATTGGTTCGCGGTACGTCGTTGATAAGGAACGATAACGAGTCGATACAAGAGCGCTATCCGTTCGTCGATCGATCGAGAAAAATCGACGATCGAGTCTTCCATCGGGGTGAATGGGGGGGGGGGGGGGTGGGGAGGAAGGGGACTCGTTGAGAAACGTGAAAAAAAGAGAATACGTTTCGTCTTCGAAAAAGAATTACAACGAGCTTGGAATGAATTGATCGAAGCAAATGATGAAGCAAGTAAACGAAGCGGAATACGAATGAAATCCCGAAACCAGGCTCTGCGTTTTATCAGAGATTTATTAGTTGGGGATTAAAGCCATAAAGTTACGTTTCGACCCCTCGCAGGTGCTCATCGGATATGTTTTATGGCGGGCGATGTAAAAATTATATAGAACGCAAGAAGCGATCTGGCACGATTAAGTCGTATTTGAAAAGTGTGAAAAATCTGTACATACTTTCTGTTTGCAATTGGATGGTTACAGAGCTATGCTAGATGAGAAAAGAGGGGAGTGTGTGGGGAATTTTATACGAAATCGATGTACAAATGCGAGCACTTCGAGTCCGAGGGAATTCTTTAATTTTGTGATTTTTCTAGAAGTATGTTAAAGTGGGTCGACGCAGGTGGGTGTGTAATTGGTTTTCTGGATTTGGATACTCAAAGTATGGACTTCAAAATTATTCACTATTAATTTTTAACGGGATTCCAAGTAACGTGGTATTTTTTAAAGAATTTTGTATTTATCAACAGCAAAGTTACGTGAATTTATCTGGATTTCTAGGTATGCACGCTAAAAATATAAGGCATACTGTTCCTAATATCTTCAAAATCATTCAATAATTAATTTTTAATGGCATTCTAAGTACCATGGTATCTTTTAAACGATTTTACATTTATCAACAGCAAAGTTACATGAATTTTTCCTAGTGTCTCTCGGAATTTTCAATTATTCATGTTTACCACTAAACATACCAACGTTCATTTGTATTAATTCAACAATGACTAGTTTTAAAGACACTTATTAAATGGAAAAATATTTTATATGGAACTAAATTGAATAATGCGCGAAACAATAGTATCTACAGTCAGACCTATAAGTATTCGTATCCTCTATGACTATTGAAGAAGTTTTGAATGAATGAAATAATAGTTTTGATATTGCCAAATGAATTTTTCATTATAAATATGTATATGAATAAGCTTATACATGTATATATTTATACAAACATACACTTGGAAACATCAAACCTATCATTTCATTTAAACAAATTTCTTCAATGGACGTAGTGGGTACGAACATTTATGGGACTGAGTGTATGTCTATTAACAAAAGTATAAATTAGTGGTTTGACGTTTTCAAATAAATATTTCATTACAAATATACATACATTAAAAATATGATATACAGACAGTCCATAAGTATTCGTGCCTTCTATATTTATTGAAGAAATTTGTCTAGTTTAAATGAACGCTTCGTGTTGCCAAATAAATTTGCAATTGCAAATATAAATATACAATTTTGCACGAGCAAAATTTATTCGTGTACATATTTATAATGAAAAATTCTTTTGGAAGCATCACACCTGCATTTAATTTAAATATTTGTCTAGTTTAAATGAGTGCTTCATGTTGCCAAATAAATTTACAATTGGAAATATAAATATATAATTTTGCACGTGCAAAATTTATTCATGTACATATTTATAATGAAAAATTCTTTTGGAAGCATCACACCTGCATTTAATTTAAATATTTGTCTAGTTTAAATGAGTGCTTCATGTTGCCAAATAAATTTGCAATTGCAAATATATACATGTGCAAAGTTAATTCGTGTATTTTTTTAAATTTAATTTACAAAATCAGACTTTCAAGGGGTTAAGTACCAAAAAATAAATTTGAATAAAATTCTCAAACTTCGATGAAGTTATAAAAATAAATACCCAATAAATAAAGTTTGAAAACAAAGTAGAAGTTTGAAAATAAAGTATGAATGACTCTGCTTTTCACCGAAGAACAAACAAAATTAATTGAATATAATACGTTGATATTCTCTTTCAATTTAATTTGGAAAATCAGACTTTTGAGAGTTTTACATACAAAAGAAAAATAAATTTGAATAAAATTCTCAAACTTCGATGAAGTTATAAAAATAAATACCCAATAAATGATCAATTATATAGCTTCCAATGGTCTAGAAACAAAAGTTAATCACAATAGAAATTTTCAAGATTAGTTTAGCAGTGAACTTCTGAATACCAAGACACCATGGTATCCAAGCAGTCCTACACCTATCAATGACACCTCTATCTTACATCCGTCTCGTCTCCCACCCTCCTCGTGCACCAAAACAACATCCAAACATCCCCTCTCGATCATCCCCCGTCCATGCCCAATTCCCTCTCGCTATACGAGTACTCCGTACCTCGGAACGGGGTAGAGGTCCGAGGTCGAGCCGGCGACGATACGCAGGGTGGAGATAAACGCGATAGGGATAAAAATCGAACGAATCGCGCGAGCATCGCGACCGATGGGGAGGCCTGGTCGAGAGTCGGCTGCGAGAGGCACGCCGTTGTCAAAATAAACGGCACTATCGCGATTTATCTCGTTTCCCATGATAATAAGAGATAAAACTGCATCCTTACATTAGCTAGTATATCAGCTAAAATGATAATTTCAGTCGTCGGGTCCGCCAGGAACGCGTAGGGCCGTTCCTCTTCATCCGCGACCGAGTTTCGCCCCGGGAGGCCACGCGACCCGCGTCGAACCGTCCGTCGACAAGTTCCTGGATATCCTCGAAGCTCGAGAACCGGGTCGTCGACACGGAGACTCCACCGAAAGGAATTTCCTTCGCGTCGCACGATGGAGCAGCCGAGCTCACCGACGGCCGAGCGTCCCGACGGCCCTCTAGACGCTCTATCCCTCTAGACGCTCGATCATCCAGCGCGAACGGATTTTTGAGCGCTCGACCTCTTCAACAGGGATTCTCCGTCTCGAGGTGGAATACGTGCGCGAGAATCGTCGAGTCGCGGCGAACGGAAGACGTTCACGTCGGACGCGGATACTTGGCCAGGTAAAGCCTCGTTTCTGCTGGTGCGACGAGTGCAAAGTGTCGGGTTCGAAAGGCGTCAGGGGAAAGTGGTTGCTAAGATTACTTTGTAGATTTTGTATTTTGTAGATTTTGCTGGGATGGGATTTGTAGATTTTTCGGAATGGATTTAGGTGGATTTAGGTGGATTCAGGTCGAGTTATGGGGTAGTTTCAGTGACGGGGATTTTTGGAAGAGTGGATGGGGAAGTAGGAAAGCTGAAGTTGTAGCATGTATGGATCGAGGTATGGTTGATCCTTCAACCGTGCTTGGCCTTCTCGCTGTTCATGGCTCGCATAATCGTCACGGTGGTGTGTTGTTGGGTACGAGATGGAGTGGTTGGACAGTGAACGAGTTAACTGACTACATTTTTGAAGTTTTGTCGCGCCTGCGAGGGGGAACGTGACGCTCTTCGCGTAGGTGTCCACGCTAAAGTGTGACAGACCCATATTTCGATAACTATCGATGATACGACAAAATTGTTTAGATGTAAATTGCAGGATACAATGGGTTCTATATTGTGGCGTAGACGATATTTGAGTAACAGGATCGATAAATACAGGGCTTACTAGACTCAATAGGATTTAAACACATGTGCGTATAGGGATTAGCGAATGATTAGTTGCACTACTTCAATCAAGCAATTCGGTTACATTGTATTTCAATTGGGTTGCGAACCAATTTTGTGATTCGTTTGTAATCCATTGCGAATGTAATTCAATTGAATTCCAGTGATTTTTAATTATGAAATTGATTTGAAATTCTAGTAATTTATTGTGTAATTACTAGACTGTGGATTTTTATGCATTTAGAGGAAAGTTGAATGTGCAAGAACCTACAGAATGCAAACAGTACGCAAGAATACAAAAAAGATCGAAAGTAAAAAGTTCACGTTATAATATCTTCAGAATAAAATTAATTTCTATTTAGGTTCAATTTTTCTCGGCACGTTCGCGAAGGTTTTATTTTCCATGAAGATCCGCAGTCTACTTATTACACTGACTATATTTATAACGAATCATTTATGTATTATTTGGAAACATCAAACTTGTCATTTAATTTAGACAAATTTCTTCGATAGACGTAGAGGGTACGAATAGTTACGAAACTGACTGTACATCTAATGTGCCATGCGTATAATCAATGCTATCATACGGAATTGAATATCGGTAACAGTTTAGGGGCTACTCAGGGACCATACTCCGAGACGATGCAATATATCGATTCGATAAGCCAGTGTTCGTTGTTACGGAAACTCTGTTAACACGTCGACTGCCAGACTAATACTCTTGAAAATTTCTATCGTGATTAAGTTTTCTCTCTAGACTATTGGAAGCTACATAATGAAGCATTTATTGTGGTATTTATTTTTATAACTTCATTGAAGTTTAAGAATTTAATTCGAATATACTTTCTTTGTTACTGAACATTCAAAATTAATTTTGTTTGTTCTTCAGTGAAAAGCACTGTCACCCATATATGGATGACAGATCGAAACGGGTGTCGAAGGTGCTGCGCAGTATTACACGCCTCATGCCTTTGTTTACTTTAATATTATTCACGAGATTAGAAACAACGAACGGTCCACTATTTCCCAATAAAGCGGAACCTCGTCGCGGCGTGGAATGCGCTTCGAACGCGAGCGGAAGTGGGAATCGGCCGTGAGTCCGCACGTCAACGTTCGCCTCGCTGGATTTAGTTCTTTCCATTATTTTTTCGGGAATCAACGCGTCAAAGTACAGCCAAAGGGTTGCGTCACGGTCGGCCGGGGAATCGCGAACACGACGAGGCCATTTCCCTTATCAGTCGAGTAGGAAATCCTTATCAGCGCGAATGAAAATCCCCGACGGCGCGTTGTGCGTGCTCGTCGCCGCGTTATTAGAAAAATAACAAACGAAACGAAACGTAGCGAAGCGAAAGAATTACGAGAGCAATTAACGGGAACGTCATTCCTGCGACGCATCGCTATTTTAATCGACGGAGTAATCGCGAACGCTTTGATCTGTCGCTGCATCGACACTAGCGAGACCTAACATTTGATTCTTTTCTAAAACCTCGTCAAATTCATGATTTTAGATTGCTTTTTTTTGACGACTCTGATTTCGAATTATTTTTCTTAGTTTCTCGATGAAAAGATAGCTTGTCACACCTCTCTTAAATCAACCAACGAAAAACCTAGAATGTTCGTTTGCTTGAATTATTGATATTACAAGCCCTCGATGACACTTTGGTCAGACTTAAAATTTCACTCATTCTCCTGACCACATCGAATTCTCAATTCTAGATTTCTATTCTTTTATCATCCCCCTTCACAATTATTTTTCTCCAATTTTCCAATAAAAAAATACTCTGTGACCTCCCAATTCTTTCTCGTCTCGAACAACCAAAAAATCTAGAATCTCCATGTGCCCGAATTTTTCTAACCACCACAATTCCCAATTCTAAATTTCTCCTCCCTTTTAACATCTCCCCTTCACAATTATTTTTCTTGAATTTCCCAATAAAAAAAAAACTACTCCCAGTCCTCCTAACTCTTCCTCGTCTCCAACGCCCAAAAACTCTAAAATCTACATATACTCGAATTTTTCGTCGGCAGATAAGAAATTCGTCCATCGACGATCCAGAGTCCAGAGACGCCTAGGGATGACGCGACGTCCGTCTTCGTTGCGCAATCGCGCTTCCGCGAGCCAAGCTCCGTAATTTTCCATCGCATGGAAAAGACTCGGTCGTCTCGTCGATGAAAATTCGCGGGCGCGCCCATGTACGATCGCTGATTTCACGCGTTCGCGAACCAAACGCGCGTACCCCCTCGCGTCCCCCGCGTCTGTTCCCGGCGATGGCGAATGCAAGAACCTAAAGCTCTTTACGATCCGATTCCCGCGGCGCTTGTTGGCTTGTTGGCTCCTCGGGTCTTTACAACGCAATTAACCTGTAATTTACAACGACCGAATCCTACGGAGACGGTCTTAACCGTTGACGCGACCAACCGGAGCAAACAAGCCCGGTGACTCTGGCGTAAATCAGAGAAACGGGGACCGGAGCAGGCGAATATGGCGGACGGCTTTCGGTTGAGGACGTCCGGAAGAAATAGGACAGAGAGGTTGAGAGGTTTTGTTGAGTTTATAGTGCTTAGCTAGAGAGCTACTGACTGACTATTCGCTCCTCTTATTTGCTATTGCACACTGTCTTATTCCTTATTTTTCGCCCTAGGCTTTTGGAATTTTTCATTCTTCATATTTTTGTTAGCCAGCCCTAACTCAATCATAAAAAACCTGGGCGGACCGACCAGGATTCGAATCCAGGCTCTCAGCGTGGTAGTCGGCTACTCTACGGACTGCTCTACTAACCGCACTTACCACATTATTCATTTAATAGAGATTTGCTTTTCGAAGGACTCCTACGGTCACTCGAGTGACTTGTACCCCCAATTCGCAGAAGTTGGCATACTTCGCATTCAAGTCTAAATATGTTAATTGGCTAATCTAAAATAGTGTCTATTCTGAGGCCGTTAGGTCGTGGACTCTGGGGTTTCCTTGTCTCGGAGCGCAATGGTACTAGGCTAGAAAAATCAGAATAGGTGGATTAAGGAGTGTAGTGTACCATTGCGCTCCGATTAGCTAGCATTGAGGCAGGGAAACCCCAGAGTCCACAAACTAAAGGTCTCAGAATAGACACTATTTTATTTAGAGGGGAGAGAGAGAGAGAGAGAATCGGCTACCAAACTCTACTGGACCTTAAATGATAAAAACTGAAAGCTTCGATACTCTTGAGGTCCAAAGTACGCCAGTTAAGGCTAGAAGGTTAGGTGAATCAGAGAGTGTAGAGTAGCATTGCGCTCCGAGGCAAGGAAACCCCAGAATCCACAACTTTACGGCCTCAGAATAGGCCTCAGGAAATTACAATCCCTATTTTAACCGACCTATCGCGATCCAGGCTCTGCTCTCCCTATATCAATCTATATTAAAGACCGTAAATCATTACTAGAGCAGTCCTGGGGGTGCAACAATCTTCTAACCCCCATCTCCGCTCCTCCAGGAACTCCAGAAGGCCCACAGACCTCGAAACTTAAATAAATCACTCTGGACAGAGTCCAGCTGGATCCGCTGGATCGACGCGGACCGTCCGTAGCCCTCGCGAACGGAAGCGCCTCGAATCTCGGCCGCGAGTTCGGCCGATCGCGCGCCTCGCGAGCCCGAATAATTAACCCGTCAGGTGACAAACAGTATTATCGTCGTTGCCCGATATTATTCCATTATCTTACGGCGACTATGTGCTTAACGATTAATAAAATATCTGCGCTCAGGGGTATCTCGGCTCGATATCGAATAGTTTCGCGCCAGACGTCGTCGAGACCGTCGATTTCGCTTCCGACGCTTCGCGCGTCACGAAAAGCTCGCGAGTCGATCCGAGGAACAGCCGACGCGACGGATCGATCGGTGATTTTCGAAACGTTGGTGGTTAAGGCGAAATAAACACGCGAGGGGGAGGTACTTGTCAAGGGGAACGCTTGCGAGTGTGTAATTTAGTTTCGAAGGGGTCTTGTGTGTTTTTGGAGGGAAATTAATGCGTTTGAGACCGGTTCTTAAAAGTGACGAGGTTTGGAAAATTGGAATAGTTGGTTTGCGATGGTTATTGGAGTATTTTTGGGGAAAAGTTTCTTGGAAAAGTTTCATAGTTTCATAGTGGAGAGGGACTACAGATCGATTTTGGAAGTGACACGATTTGAAATCGTTCTACGACTGAAAAAGTATCGAATGTATCGAAAGTAGCGAAGAATCGAAGTGGATATTTTCGTAGCGATTTTTCTCGTTCGACGAAATCGTATTCGAGTTGAACTTGAGCGGAACGGCTCAGCCACGGAACCACAGGTGTCGTAGGCCAATTCGAACGAAAAACACAAGTGTTCTGTTCAAATGTGTCTTTCCAAATACCGCTCTATCCGCCTCCTCTCTCCCCCACCCGCCTCGCGCGGGCGTTAAATACCTTCGACTCGGGAACTTCTCCAGAAAAATGCATTCGGAATTTTAGATCTTTTTAAATGCATTCTTTTAAATTCTCTTGCCTTTTGCTACGGTGTAACTGATCGTCGACGATTAATATCACCCGCGTTTGTTGTAGAAGATTGGATCCCTTATCAATTCGTAACTAAATACACAAACAGAGATCAACGAATCGGTCTCGTTATTTATCGAAAACCCTGTATGTACGTTTAGAAAATATGGTAAAGAATTTATACCGAGGCTTCACTGTGAAAATTGGAAGAAGACTGGAGGGGCTACGATCCATTAAGCAAGCACACATCTTTCTAAAAAAAAAACAAAATAATACAAAGTACTACCTTCTTTCCCGAATACATTCATCACGGATTAAATGAATTCATCAACCTCTAATTCTTCTAAAAATCACCACTGTTGAAAAGTGCCACGAGTTACAATTTCCAGGCGAAATTCGATAATTCAAATTTATCCCAAAGAAGGGTGGATCGAAGTTGAAGAGGGGATTGCCTGATAATTTCGACAAGACTCTGCCAGGAAAATAGAAAAACTCCTCCACTGTTGAAAAGTGGCACGAGTTAAAATTCCCAGGTAGAACTCGATAATTCAAATTTATCCCAAAGAAGGGTAGATCAAAATCGAAGAGAGGGGATCCCTGATAATTCCGACAAGACTCTGCCAGGAAAATAAAAAAACCAAACTCCTTTCACTGTTGAAAAGTGCCACGAGCTTAAGACTCCCAAGTGAAACTCGACGATTCAAATTTATCCCAAACAAGGGTGGATCGAAGTCGAAGAGGGGGATCCCTGATAATTTCAAAGTAGCCGGGAAAATTGAAAAATCGAGACTTACCCTAACCGAGGAGCAAGGATAGCAGTTGGTGTCTCGTGGACGTCGAAGAGCGGCTCCAATCTGTGTCGCGTCGACAGTCGAGTGCCGACTCGCGGGGGCCGTCGCGGTTACGTTACGATTCGAGAGCGAGGATGGCAAAGAAGCGCGACGCTGGTTGACACAGGTGCGCTGCCAAGGTGCGTCGACGATCCGGAACGGCTGCCGCCTGGTAGTGTCGCACCGAAGCTTCGATTCAAATATTGACCAACCACGATTGGAACAGCGTGTGCGTGCGCGCAGAAACGCGCCATCGATCTACTTTCACATTTCTTCGGCGCTGGCCGCCATATTGTTTGCTGCGACCGCCTTTGGTCGCCTCGGATTGTTGGAAGGGTGGCCAACCTCTTGCAATATTCCCCCTACTGGGCCTTTCCATCCCCTATTGGCTCTATAATAGCGATTCTGTAGCTAGGTGACGGTTTATTAAAGACAGAAGTGGTTAATTCTCTAGTAGTTGCACTCTATTAGTCTTTAAGTTGGTGGAGGGGTGGCGACCATTTTACAATTTCCCCCTACTAGGTCTAGAATAGCACTTCTGTAGCTAGGTGGGGTTTTATTAGAGTCAGAAGTGGTTAATTCTCTAGTGGTTGCACTTTATTAGTCTCTAAGTCGGTAGAGGGGTGGCCACCATTTTGCAATCTTCCACTACTGAGCCTTTCCCGCCCCTACTACCCCTATCATCACGTTTCTGTAGCTTTCTACTATACTTAATATTTTAATTAGAGTAACAACTGGTTAATTCTCTAGCGGTCGCCATCAATCAACCTCCAGCTCACTATAGATGTAGTCATCCACTTTCTACCTTTCCCTAACACGTCTTTCCTTCTCCTACTACCCCTATCACCACGTTTCTGCACCTTACTTTTATTCTTAACACTAAAATTCTTAATTACTACAGTAACAAGTGGTCAACTCCCTACTAGCCGCCATCTTGGTACCGCCACCCGTAATCTACGAGTCCCCAGCTCAGTGAATCCGTCTCTCCACCCTTCACCCTCTCCCTTCCTCTACCACTCCCTATCAATTTAAATTTTTTCCACCAAACTATACCCATTTTATTTTCATCTTAACTCTCAGGCATTTAATTCCCTGCTTGGACCAGAATCTTTTAAACCGACCGAGCCGAGGCGAAGAGGTGGGAGAGGCTGTTTTATTGCGGTTCCCCTCGACGATATTTTCCTGGGCAAAGGGAACGGTTTACTTTTCTCCTCGGCGACCGAGATATACGCCCGTTGAATATATGTGGAGCGCGCGCGACGCGTTATCGCTTGAAAAACCGCGGCAGGAGAAGGACGAACCCGAGAGGAGAGGTGTCGTCATACTTACAGAGCACACACGGGATTCCACCGATAAGAGTCAGGTGAGACACGGTCGTGCGATGCTCGGGACGCAGGACCAGCAGCCCTCTGCTCGCGTGTGCACACATGACCCTGCTTTGGGTCGACAGAGTCTCCCATGCAGGGTCGAGTGGGGCCCTAATAAATTCTTACTGAAGCAATCCTACTAACACCCAACCACTGTCTTATAATTAGATTAGAAATGAATTCTGACTAGATCGGTTAAAGTACCGATCAAGCCACAGAATTAATTTCTGTACCCGATACAAAAATCACGAAAAAAATTGACAGTGAACGTCACGAGGAAGATGGTTCCCGCAGAGATCCCGAAGAAAGGGAACCTCTACTAATTGGTATCACCGATTTCTAATCCACAAATTCACGCTACTATCTAGAAATCAAGAATTAATTACCTAACTGCCACGCTGCTTACATCTACCATGCATTTTATTTTTAAATGACACCTACCAGTTTGGTAAACCACTGCCTGTATCGACAACCGAAACCGATAACCGCGTTCAATCCCTAGATGAAACCGTGTAGCGCGATCTCGCAGTGTAAATCATGCCGTGTCAACTTCGACGGCAACGAGCTCGTCCCAACCTTTAACCGAGATTAGGCGAGATATCGCGTTATCACCGAAAATACACAGGGATGAAATTTTCCCGCGTACACCGACTCCTCCGCGCCAGCTGGTCCCGTTTGCTGGGCCAATCTCCGATCTTAATAAACTCTCAACGAAGTTAGTCGTGCCTCTTCCTCGCCATTGCGTGTTACCAATTGTTTTTATTAAGATAATCGTCAATGGATAGGAAGGATCGAACAAGGAGTCACCTAGTACCTTCCTGCGAAAGAGAACATGTACCTTTTCTCTATGTTCTAACTACGTCGTCGATAAATAAATATTCCTAATATTCGTAAGTATGTTCCGCGCCATGGTTCACGAAATCCAATTTAAATATCCCTTTTTATTTAAACATAACCGATTCGATACAACACACGTAGTCCTGGGTTTCGGATACATTCTTCCTTTCGCTCGTCCTCTAAACGCCAACCTAATCGATACCTAGGTTACTTTAACGTTAACAAATCTGCGCGGCCGACGCGCGTTGCCCTAAACGGCGCGGATAAAATTGCTGCTTCATCGACAATCGACCGCGATGGGGGATTTTTTTTTTTTTTTTTTTTTTTTATTCTTTTCAAAGTATTTCCGACTTAACAAGCTAGATTACGCTTAACGTTTACGTTTAATATTTAGCACACTAGTGTCTATGTACAAGAAACGACGGACGCCCGTCGTTTCGTCCATGCTTGGCCCATCGATGGATCCTTGGATGAGAAGCTATTAGGCTAACGCAGACTATCGACTTTCCTCGAAAACGTTTCATTCGAACAATAGATAACGAATATAAACGATAAACATCTGTGCTCGTCGTAATAGAAAGAGTCCCTTTCTAATAAAATAAAATTCATGCGGTGGACGATTAACTATCATTAGAGATTTTTATGTATAAAAACCTGACCCAACTCTAGCCTGATCGATGTTACTAGAAGTCGATAGTCCAAGTAACTGCAATTCCAGACAACCTCCTCCCTATCTCCAAATCTTCTCGAACTTGATCTTTTACAACGCAGAGAACAATGATCACTTTAACAATAATTCCTCGCGACTGCCAAACAAGCTATCTCTAATTACATCTGCGATCTGCAATCATAAATTATAAATTTGTAATCATCCGGGACTAGTCGCGACCGACTGTTCGGCGAATAAAATTCAAGGATGACGTTTCGCCCGACACAGGGGCGAAACGAGCGATGGCCGACGTTCATTCGCGGTGTCGATGGGCGATTCCCTAATCTTTCATCCTCTATCATCCAACGTTTCACCTTTCC